ACCCAGCTACACAACTGTCTCCCATAAGTAGAGGGTCTAGTCTGGTCCCATGCAGGTTCCACAGCTGTTGGACTTAAGTTCATGAGTTCCTTTGAGCTTGGTTCAGTTGTCTCTGTAGATTTCCCCATCATGATCTTGTCCCCCCCACCTCTTGCTCATATGATCCCTCTTCCCTCTCTTCAACTGGACCCCCAGAGCTTGGCCTGGTACATGGTTGTGGATCTCTGCATCTGCTTCCATCAGTTACTGGATGAAGGGTCTATGGTGACAGTTAGGGTATTCACCAATCTGATTACCAGGGTAGGCCAGTGCAGGCCCCCTCACCACTGTTGCTAGTAGTCTAATTTGGAGTTGTCCTTGTGGATTCCTGGGAATTCCCTAGCACCAGGTTTCTCCTTACCCCATAAAGTCTCCCTCTATCAAGATATCTCTTCCATTGCTCTTCCACTCCGTCCCTCCCGCAGCTCGACCATCCTGTTCCATTATATTCTCATTCCCCATCCTCTATTGTCCCCCCCTATCCCAAGTTTACTCATCAGGATCTCCTCTGTTTCCCCTTCCCAATGTGATTCGTATATCCCTCTTAGTGTCCTCCTTTGTTTCTTAACTTCTCTGGAGCTGTGGGTTATAGTCTGATTATCCTATGCTTTACATCTAGTATCCACTTATGAGTGAATACATACCATGTTTGTCTTTCTGAGTCTGGATTACCTCACTCAGGATGATATTTTCTAGTTCCATCCATTTGCCTGCAAATTTCATGATGTCATTGTTTATTACAGCTGAGTAATAAATACTCCATTGTGTATATGTACCACATTTTCTTTATCCATTCTTTGGTTGAGGGGCATCTAGGTTGTTTCCAGGTTCTGGCTATTACAAATAATGCTGCTATGAACATAGCTGAGCAAATGTCCTTGTGGTATGATTTAGCATCCCTTGGCTATATGCCGAAGAATGGTATTATTGGATCTTAAGGTAGATTGATTCCCAATTTTCTGAGAAGCTGCCATATTGATTTCCAAATTGGCTGTACAAGTTTGCACTCCCACCAACAGTGGAGGAGTTTTCCCCTTGTTCACATCCTCTCCAACATAAGCTGTCATCAGTGTTTTTGATCTTAGCCATTATGACAAGTGTAAGATGGTATCTCAGAGTCACTTTGATTTGCATTTCCCTGATGACTAAGGATGTTGAGCAATTCCTTAAATGTCTTTCAGCCATTTAGGATTCTTCTGTTGAGAATTCTCTGTTTAGATCTGTAGCCCATTTTTCAATTGGATGATTTGGTATTTTGATGTCTAGTTTCTTTAGTTCTTTATGCATTTTGGAGATCAGCCCTCTGTTAGATGTAGGGTTGGTGAAGATCTTTTCCCATTCTGTGGGCTGTCATTTTGTCTTATTTACTGTGTTGTTTGCCTTATAGAAGCTTCTCATTTTTAAGAGGTATCATTTATTAATTGTTGCTCTCAGTGTCTGTGCTACTAGTGTTATTTTTTGGAAGTGGTCTCCTATGCCAATGCTTTCTAGGCTGCTTTCTACTTTTTCTTCTATCAGGTTAAGGGTAGCTGGATTTATGTTGAGGTCTTAGATCCACTTGGATTTGAGTTTTGTGAATGGTGACATGGATCTATTTACAATCTTCTACATGTTGACATCCAGTTATGCCAGCACCATTAGTTGAAGATGATTTCTTTTTTTTCCATTGTACAGTGTTGGCTTTTTTTTGTCAAAAATCAAGTGTTCATAGGTGTGTGGATTAATGTCAGGATCTTCAATTCGATTCCATTGGTCCACATGTTGGTTTTTATTCCAATAGCAAGCTGTTATTACTACTAGCTCTATCGTAGAGTTTGAAGTTAGGGCTGGTGATGCTTCCAGCAATTGCTTTATTGTAAAGGATTGTTTTAGATATCCTAGGTTTTCTGCTTTTCCATATGAAGTTGAGTATTGTTCTTTTGAGGTCTGTGAAGAATTGTGTTGGGATTTTGATGGGGATTGCATTGAATTTGTAGATTGCTTTTGGTAAAATTGCCATTTTTATTATGTTGGTTCTACCTATCCATGAGCATGGGAGATCTTTCCATTTTTTGATATATTCTTCAATTTTTTTCTTCAAGGACTTTAATTTCCTGTCATATAGGTCTTTCTCTTGATTGGTTAGAGTTACCCCAAGGTATTTTATATTATCTGTGGCTGTTGTAAAGGGTGATGTTTCCCTGATATCTTTCTTGGCCCATTTATCATTTATGTATAGGAGGGCTACTGATTTTTTTGAGTTAATCTTGTATCCTACCATATTACTGAAGGTGTTTATCAGTTGTAGGAGTTCCCTGGTAGAATTTTTGGGGTCACAAAAATTGTGACCATATTTAATCTATAATGGGTGGAATGTTCTGTAGATGTCTATTAAGTCCATTTGAGTCATAACGTCTGTTAGTTCCCTTATTTCTCTGTTAAGTTTCTGTCTGGCAGACCTGTCCATTGGGGAGAGTGGGAAGTTGAAGTCTCCCACTATTAATTAGTGTGTGGGGTTTGATGTGCTATTTAAGCTTCAGTAATGTTTCTTTTACATACATGGGTGCCCTTGTATTTGAGGCATAAATGTTCAGAATTGAGACTTCATCTTGATGAATTTTTCCTGTGATGAATATGTAATGTCCTTCTTCATCTCTTTTGATTAATTTTAATTTGAAGTCTATATTGTTAGATATTGGATAGCTACACCAACTTGCTTCTTAAGTCCATTTGACTCAGAAAACTTTTCCCAGCCCTTTAATCTGAGGTAATGTTTGTCTTTGAAGTTGAGGTGTTATATGCAATAGAAGGATGAATTCTGTTTTTGTATCCATTCTGTTAGCCTGTGTCTAACACAGGCAAATTGAGTCCATTGATATTAAGGGATATTAATGACCAGTAATTGTTAATTCCTGCTATTTTTTGGTGGTAGTGTTGTGTGTTTCCTTTCTTTGAGATTTGTTGTTATAGGATTATCCATTGCCTGTGTTTTCATGGGTACATCTAACTTCCTCAGGTTGGATTTTTCCTTCTAGTGATTTCTATAGGGCTGGATTTATGGATAGGTATTGTTTAAATCTAGTTTTATTGTGGAATATTTTGTTTACCCTGTCTATGGCAACTGAGAGTTTTGCTGGGTATAATAGTCTGGGCTGGCATCCATTTTCTCTTAGTGTCTGCATAATGTCTGTCCAGGACCTTCTGGCTTTTAGAGTCTCTATTGAGAAGTCAAGTATTATTCTGATGGGTCTGCCTTTACATGTTACTTGGCACTCTTTCCTTTGTAGTTCAATATTTTTTCTTTATTCTGTATGTTTAGTGGTTTGATTAATATGTGGCAAGGGGACTTCTTTTTTGGGTCCAGTCTATTTGGTGTTCTGTAACCTTCTTGTGTCTTCATAGGCATTTTCTGCTTTAGGTTGGGAAAATTTTCTTCTATGATTTTATTGAATATATTTTCTGTGCCTTTGAGTTGTTATTCTTCTTCTTCTATCCCTATTATTCTTAGGTTTGGCTTTTTCATGGTGTCCCAGATTTCCTAGACATTTTATGTTATGACTTTTTGGCTTTAGTATTTTCTTAAACTGACAAATCTATTTCCTCTGTTGTATCCTCCATGCCATAGATTCTTTCTTCCATTGGTTATGCTTGCATCTGTAGTTTCTGTTCATTTATTCAGATTTTCTATTTCCAGCATTTCCTTGGATGGTGTCTTCTTCATTATTTCTATTTTAGTTTTCAGGTCTTAAACTGTTTCCTCCATCTGCTTAATTACTTTTCTTTTTCTTTTTTCTTCTTTTTTTGGCTTTCTTTAAGGGATTTATTGATTTCTTTCAATTTTTTGTTTGTCTTTTCCTCAATTTCTTTAAGGGAATTTTTCATTTTCTCTTTAAAGACTTCTATCATCTCTTTAAGGTCATTTTCTTTTGTTTCTTCTGTGTTGGGATGTTCAGGTCTTGCTGATGTAGAACCACTAGGTTCCAGTGGTGCCATATTGCTCTTTATGTTGTTGAATGTATTCTTGCAAGAGCATGTACCCATCTCTTCCTCCAATTGGTACAAATGGTGTCTGTGTCTCAGGGAGCTGCTCTTGGCCCAGTTGGAGCTGGCAGAGTCTGTATCTCAGGGAGCAGCTGTGGTCTCAGAGGATGGGTGGGTTTTGGGAGGGGATTGGAGCTTGTAGGTTACAGGTTAGGAGGAGGGTTGGTGATCTGGCCTTCCTGCCTGCTGGCCTGCAACTGGGGCTACAATGGGTAGGGTTTGGGGGCACTGGTTGTACCCCTGGGCCTAAAACCTAGAGGCTGGGGTGATTAGCTAGAAAAACAAAGTCACAGCGAGTAGCTGTGGTCTCAGAGGGTGGGTGGGTTTGAGGGGTGGATTGGGGCTTGTATGTTACAGGGTCCAGTGGGGGATGGTGGTAGTCGGGCCTGCCTCCAGGAGTCCTGCCTGCTGGCCAGCCACTGGTTGGACCCCTGGGCCTAAAGCCTAGAGGCTGGGGTGATCAGCTAGGAGAACAAAGACTCACCTCTTGGTCCAATTGGAACTCACAGAGTCTGTGTCTCTGGGAGCAGCTGTGGTCTTGGAGGATGGATGGGTTTGGGGGTGCACTGGGGCTTGTAAGTTACAGGATATCAGTGGGCCATTTTACACTTTTACAGCATACAATTCAATGCCAGATGCAAATCTAAAATTTGTGCATGGTAAGCGTTTTTCCACCTGCTTTTAAACTTCTATGTCATAAAGTTTCTCAGTAAATAGAAGAAGCTGGTATAGAGATTTGAGGATGGAGCTGCTTAGCTTAAGAGTAACACAATATAGGGGAGTTATTTTTCATTTACTAGATATGCCTGCTTATTTTTTTATCTTTTATCATTAGCTATAATCTTCAAGCTATTGACTTACAAACATGACAGTTTTGATATCAATATTAGGGTCATCTGAAGGCAGAAATGTGTTCATTAATAAAGATTGTGTCGTACCAGGAGTTTGTGCGCCTCACCGTGTCCGATGTTCTGACCACGTATGTCACGATCCTCATCGGTGACTTCCTCAGAGCGTGCTTCGTGAGGTTTTGCAATTACTGCTGGTGCTGGGATTTGGAATACGGCTATGTAAGTATGGTGCTGACTTCTCCTTTATTGGAGTTCTTTTTTGTGAGTCATTGTTTACACACACACCACAAGTGGAAGGGTGCCTCAGAGTTACATGAGTGAGGTCACCTTGTGAGATGTCAATAAACAAAGATTCATCAGTTATTTGTAATGAGTCTTTCTCTTTCCTGCCAGCCAGCTCCCAAATAACGACATAGAGACCTCTTATTAATTATGAAAGCTCAGCCTATAGCTTAGGCTTGTTCCTAACTAGCTCTTGTAACTGAAATTAACCCATTTATTTTAATCTATTTTTTATCACATGACATTACCCCTCTTCCATCTTGTACCTCCTGTTTCCTCCTCATGTCTTCTATTCCCACCTGGATTTCTCCTCCTCCTCCTTTCTCTATCTGCCTGGGAGTACTGCCTATTTTCCCTGTCTAGCTATTGGCCATTTAGCTTTTTATTATGCCAATCACAGTGACACATCCTTATACAGTATAATCAAATATTTCACAACAGTTATAATTCAGAAGAGCCCAGATTTGGGTATCATGGTTTCCAATACTGAGGTAAAGTTAGCTCTGGCTCTTGAAAGTAATGGCCCTTGAGCTGTCAATTAAAATGTTGTAGGAATCCTTGGCCCCATGGTCAGTTCCCTTCCCATGAAGCAAGTTGGTGCTGATACAAGACTGGTATAAACTGTGTACTCTTTATGTCCCTGTGAATTTTGCTGTAGGACTGGATAATTATCATGCACCAGTTACTATGTAGTACACGAAGGGATGAAAGGACTCAGTGAATATGGTTTTTGCTTTATGAGGCTCACAGCCTAGCAGGAGCCTGACAGAGACAACAGTGGGGGACCGTGGAGATTTAAGGAAGACCTAGTTTTCTGACAGGGCTTTGCTTAAATGGAGCTCAGGGGCAGCCTGCAACAATTGCAGAGGTTTCTCTGAATCTCTATGGGTGTTGGCTTTATCACCAGCTTTTCCTCTGTGCCCAAGTTAAAATCTCCCTCAATCTTCAGGGAAGTGCAGAGCATACATGGTTCTTGGTCTAACATGTCAACAGGTCTCTGTTGCCCTCTTGTATAAGTAAAACTGGTTTCGGTTAATCCTTAGTGATGGGAGTCACAGAAATGATGGTACCCTGTGTTTAAGCCCACCATGGCTTCATGAGCACCCCGAATGTGCACCAGAGAACTTTCCAGGGCTCCCTGTCTTTCTTAAACAGTTTGCTTCTTTTCTTCCTGCCTTAGCCTAGTTGCTGAATTCTAATTTTCACAAATATGGACATTTTAAATTTTCAGTCACAAAAAGATTGTTTCATTTGCGCTTACTGTTTCTCCCTCAAAGGGATGCTGCTACCCTAGAACTGGGCATGAGCACTTCCTTCTTGTCACTAAGCATCCCTTTGGTATGTCACCTCCTCAGAGTTCTTCTCTGACCAGCGTTTTAACATAGCCCATCTAATGCTATGGCAGCTTACAGCTTGGTTTTATGAACAAGATATACAACTACTTGACATCTCTTTTTAAACTGCTTATTATCCACCTCCTCCTACAGCGAGGCATCTATGAAAAAACAAATGTCTGTTGTTTGAGCCAGGCTAGCCACACGGCAAATGCTCTCTGCTGACTGTGTGGTTGAACTTGTACCACCACATCATGCTACCATCAGGGCAGCAGTAGCAGTTGGAAGAACTTGTCCTCTTTGTCGGCTGGGTCCACAACATTATTCTGGTTGTGTGTTCTAAGCCAGCAATGTTTCTCTTCCCACCAGTGAAGAAATAGTCTGCTAGGTGATCTCACTTCCATCTCGTGTTTTCTTGTATATAGACGAAGCCCACATTTAAGATTCTGGGCTATATCTATTGGCTATCTGACTTTGAGACAGTACCTTGTATTAGATCATCTCTGTCACCATCACTTAAGGTGCCCCCTTGGATGAGGCAAAAGCAGTTAGGTAATGTCCTCTGGTACACAGCTGTGAAGTAATGCAGCAGATCCCGGATGTCCCTGTGCAGCTTTGCTATTACTTGCTATGAGGTATTCATCTGGCTTGGGTTCATTTCTATTTTCCCTGCCTGATTCAGCTCTTCTGAGGCAGACATAAAAATTGCCATCTCTTTCTTAGATCATGGCTTGTCTTTTGTTTGCCTTTTATCCCTAGCTACTTTCTTCTTAAGTGATAGAAAAGTTGACTATGAATATGAAGTCAATATAGCATGACCGGGATGCATAAAAGCTGTAATTAAATGACTGTAATTTATTATTTATTGAGTGCTGACAGAGCTCTTGGGTTAGTACAAAGTGCAGGAAACAAGTTTCTGTTTTTAAGTCATAAAGAAAGAATTTTCTCTCATTTTACCTTTGGAAGGTTCTTTGAAAGAAAACTCAGAATCAAAACAAGTTATAAAATGTTAATGTTGGATGATGTATTTTTTGTGGATCATATCATCCTGCCAGTTGTCTGACTAACTTCCTTGGAAGCCTGATGGTGCTGGCCACTATGAGCAAGCTCATACAAGGTGCTGAGGGGCATAGAGATGAGGAAGCTGGAGCCCACAGAGAGGATGCAACTTGGACCTGAAGTCTTGATTTTAATTTGCCTGCCCAGTGTTTGAATATTTTTTAATGAGCTAATACTTTTAAAACTTGGAACTTCTACATAATACATTTTCTTTGTTGACATATTAGAAAACCTGGCCATATTAGACTTGTATTCCCAATTGGGAAGACATATGCAGAAACTCCCACCTTCAACCATGAGCATATTCATCCTTCAGTTCTTCAAACACCACTACCCTTATTTTGCAAACTGTAAGAATCAAGAAGGGCATACAAGGTAAATAGCAAAGGACAGATCAATTGTTCTCAGACATTGGCGTGTATGTGTGTGAGGAGAGAGAGAGAGAGAGAGAGAGAGAGAGAGAGAGAGAGAGAGAGAGAGGTGTATACTTGGAGAGGGAGATGTTTGAGTTGATCCTATAGGATGAATAGGATTTTGAGAGACGAAGAAGAAATTCCCTGGAAGGGACAGATGACACAGGGCCCCAGAGACGAACCCTGCGGTGTTTCTGTGCTCTTGTTTAGATTTGCTAATTGACAATTTTTGTCCATAAAGCACTTACCATGAAGGGAAGAAAAACTTGATGAGGTGAGGAATGATTCCCAAGTATCTTCGGAAATTGAGAGAAAATATGCCCTGTCACAAAAAAGATATTATTTCTTTGTTTCTCAGAATTTCAAAATATCATGTGATTTTTGTAGAAAAATTGGAAAATACACTGAAGTTAAATATAAAAATTACAGATAATCCTACCACTAGTGAGAACATTTAAATTACCTGAGTCAAATAATCTTAATATTACATATATATAAATATTATGTATTTGTACGTCTCATTATAGATTAAATATGTGTATATGTGTATGTATATATACATGTGTGTCCATATAGAGATAGGTAATCTATATGCCTGTTTGGGGACACCTGACTGGCTATGTCACCACATCTTCATGTTACTGCTAGATTATAACATGCTATTTATTTGTGAGCTGAGGACTGAGCTCAAGGCCTTGATCATGCTAACTTGTTCTTTACCACTAAGCCATAACCTTAGCCCTTTATAATATAAACTTATTTATTTTTATTAACATGGATTAATTGTACAAAACAATCAGATTTGCAATGATATTTAAACATAGCATATGATATACTTTTATCATAGTCACCCTTTGTTTACTCTTCCCCCATTTTCCCCTTCAACATCCCTGAATGTCCAAATTTTAATTTCATGTCCATTTGAGGCCACCCTACATTCCATAATGATAGAAAACATTCAATCCCTATTTTTATGATTTTAGTTTATTTTTATCATGATGATCTGCCTTTCATCAATTTTTCCACAAATGAGATAATTTTGTTCTTTTAAAATATAATATAAATTTTAATAGTTTTATGATAGTCTATATCTAGATTTAGAAAAATTTATAGCAGTTTATTGCTATATCTACATTTGTTAAAATACTGTCATGATAGCATTTAATTATACTGATGTAGGTAAACATGATCATATATACATCATAGTGGTACCCACAACTTTGTTCCTTACAACATATTTCCCTGAGCTGATTTACTTGGTTAGACAAAGGGTTCCTTTTCTCTCTTTTATTCTCTTTTATTTATTTTTGTTGTTGCTTACCAGTTTAGTGAATGTCTTAACCTAACATTTAATTTACACTGACAACAGACTTCATGTTTATCAACAGAAAGAGTCTGAGTACCTGAAAAGATGTAGGATTGTATGCCAGCATGTGTGAACAAATCCACCGTCTTCTTCATACTTGTGTTTTTAAGGGGAATCTTTGCTACATTAATACAAATTAAAACCATGAGAGATTTCCTTGAGATCTGAGGAAGAGGCTCAACATTATCCATAAGCATGCATGATAGTCAGACCATCTGAGTGGAGTCCTGATTATTTGGCCTTCCATTTTTATTTAGTACTTACTATATATCAGAAGTGTTATAAATAATTTAGAAATGTGTAAATTATTTTTTCATTCCATGTAAAGAAACCAGCAATGCTGTGAAGTAGGTATTATTCCCACTCCATAATAAACTAAGGCTTAGAGAATGTTAAATCAATGACTTATAACTAGTTAGAAGTAGAGTTACAACTAGAACCTCTGTCCAATTTACTTCAAAGTCATTAACCGCATTTATAGCATATTGAATGTTAGCTGTAACCCAGGCTATCTAATGACTCTTCCAAAGAATGAATGCAATATATGGCATCTTAAATTTCCAATGCTCCCTGGAATCAAAACATTGCATTCAGTAGAATACAGTAAACATGAATGAGTAAATGGTAGAAGATAGAATATGCTCCCTAGGTAAATATGAGATTGCCATCAGGAAGACAGCATGGTACAGAGTCAGTAAGAAGATCTGGACATACCTTGATGGAGGAAGAATGAATGTGGAGAACCTGTAGACAGGTTTTATTTGA